TCCACCATCCCCCCGCTCTTCCTCCCCTCCATTATCCCATCCGATAGGAGACGTTGCCCCAGAGATTCAGTCCCATTTCCTACCCCAGAGATTCGGTCCCGGCAATCTACTGGACAAGGATGTGCCATCACTTCTAGAGCCCCATCACAACGACGACGACAACCATGACAATAGTGTCATTAAGATTAACGGTGAGGCCAATCGATGCTATAGCAACGACAGAGTTGTATTGGATTATAACAAGAAACTGAAGTATGCAGCACTTGAAGCAGCGAACAAATCCCGCGTGTCGTACACTAGATGCCCATCTGGGGTGGCTCTAATGGACACCGAATGGAAGGTCTACAAAGGGTCGTATGTGGAATCAACGGCGTATAATCCAAGCATGGGGCCAGTTTAGGCGGCACTGGTGGCGTATGTGGCGGTTGGCGTTGGTGGCGGGTACAAGAAAATTGTAGTAGGGGCATTGGTGGAGAAGAAAGGAGCAATGGTGGGACAGAAAGGCACGGCACGACTGTTGCTGCAATCAGTATCTTCATGATGTGATTTTGTAGTATTCCACTGCAATTCAACTCCCTCCCTCAAAATATAAAAAGCCTTGTTAATCTGTTATTGATCGATCTGAAGATGTTGTTAGCGTTATTGATTTGGAGGGGTGAAATCATTTTAGATCAATTATCTTCAAACACTTCTTCAATTCGTTGTACCAAAGAAACTTATCTCTCCACTTAAGCAACTCTCCTCGATCTGATTGCTTAGGCTCTTTCCGAACTTTATCTCTCTCTCTCTCTCTCTCCAACTTCTCCTTCTGCGTTATTTCCGATAAATACAGAGAATGTGCTGAATTGGAACAACTCCTGGCAAAAACCTGACAGAGTCTTTTAGAAGAATGGACGAGTATCGGATGGGATAATGGAGGGGAGGGAGAGCAAGGAGGGGGTGGATTTTTTTCCTATTGCTGATGGCAGCGTTCACGATGCCGGTGTGTAGTGAGTCACTGATGGACGCTTGGGTTCGATGGAGGAGAGTAAAAAATGGCCGGTTCAACCAACCGAGCGACTGGTAATAGAGAAAGTTTCTGTTAATTCGAAGTTAAGACGGATGAGATGGCATGTTTGCCTCTCATTCGAGGGTGCACTTAGTGCACCCATGGGTGCACAAAACATGGTCTCGTACCAACAAGGCACCTCCTCATTTGTGTTAATGATGTAATAATGTTGCTCACACTCTTGCTCATCTCCATTACCTCTCCCTTGTTGACATTGTTGACATTGTTGACATGGCTAGCTAAGGAGGCATTTGGTAAGTCTTTTTGTGTGGTGTTTCAGGCTTTTTAAAGTTTGGAAGACTAAAATTTGGTCTTTCTCTATCTGGCAATAAAAGGTAGGAAGCTAGAAAGACCTATGCTCCAAAAGGTTCATGCAAGCCCAAAATGACCAAAAATCTAGAAATTTCAAATGAAACTTTATGTCTTTTTGCACCTAAAATCTTTCATTTAATAGCTCTATAGATCATAGTAGACTAGGATACTTACCAAACAGTCTAGATCATTAAAGACAAGACCCCATAGGCTCATTACATCTTTTGGCCATCTACGTTTTTGAAAGATCTTCCTAAAAAGACTTGCCAAATGGCACCTAAATCTGGTGGATTATGGTTGCTTAGGGAAATCAATGGACTTCCAAATTAGACATCCAATTTGAGTAATTAGATGTTGCATTTTGTTTGGTAATTGGATGGGATGAAGAATTCACTTTTATCCAATCCAATCAAACTAAAAGTCTGTGTAATATAACAATACACATAATCATTACCCAAGCCTTATCCCAACTATATGGGGTTGACTACATGGATCTTGTTTTGTCCTTCCATTTTGTTTAAAGTCAAGACTTGCTCATGAGCCAAGTAGCCCGATGAACAGGTCTGGCCCACCTATTCTATATCAGCCTTGGACATAATTTTAGGCCTATAGGTTTGGGCTTGGGCTCTAAGCACCAACCTCAAATATTTTTCAAGCCAAGTTCTATATTTCTCAAATAAGCTCGAGCTCTAACCCAATAGTTAGGCTAGGCTCAAGATTTAGGCCTAATGGTCAAGTTGAGCTTGGGTTTGGGCTCTAAGCACCAAACTCAAATATTTTTCAAGCCAAGTTTGATATTTCTCAAATAAGATTGGGCTCCAACTCAATAGTCAAGCTTGGCTCAAGATTTAGGCCTTAATGGCGAAGCTGAGCTTGGGCTTGGGCCTAGACCACCCTAATGGCAGGAAATAATCTCAATGCATGCCTGTAGTATGTAGGGATTTGAGAGAACTTGTGATGGAGGAGATCCAAATAGGGTTGTAAACAGTTCGTATTTAGATCGGATCCAGTTGCATCCACATCCGATTATAAAACCTCTAGATATGCATCCACATTCAATTATCATGTCAGATTTTGGATTGAATCTGGATTTAATATGCAACCATTTTATTATGTTTAAAATGATCAAAAAATTAAAAGCATTTTAAAAAACTAATTATTGTTAACTTATATATGTATAATAAATATATATAAATATAAATTATTAAATTTATTTGTTATGAATTTTATGTAATTAATATTTAAATACATATATAACTATACTAAATCTATATATGAATGTAAGTTCTAATATCATGTTCGGTGTAATCGAATTTTGGGTCGAATTTGATACTGGAATTTCAAAATCCATTGGCATCATTAAATTAAACTCGTTCCATTGGTGTTTATATCCAGTTAATTATGTCCTCATATATTTTTAACAGATTTATACTACTTTAAAAAACACTAATAGCCTCGCTAATATTTTTGGAATTTTTTAGGACAAAATTTATCTTCCATATTTAAATTTATTGATAAAAAATGAGGGCAAAAGGGTAATCAATTATTAATATTAAATGAGTTAAAAATATACAATTGTAAGATATTCAATGTATTCAAATTTATTTTCATTAAATCCAACAATTAAGGTATTAATTTGCATTAACCTTCACTGAATCATATATTTAAGGCATTTTTATTTCGGCTCATCATTAAATTATATTAATTAAATCCATACACAATAGATTAATAATTTCAAGAACATAAACTCATACTTTTAAAATCTACCTAAATAAAAATCGTATTTTCATCTAAGCAGTGGTAAGAAATTAAACCATTTTGGGTTAAATGCGCCAATTCATGTTGTCACAATTAAATAATAAAATGAAAAAATAGATAAAATGAAAAAAATATATAAATTAAAAAAAATTGGAAACATTTTTAACATCATATATTCAACATATTAAACAATAATAAGTATGATAAACATAAAATGATTTTATTAACGATGGAAATGGAATGTAAAATTTAAAACCAATTAGAAATAAAACTATTTTCCTATTATCTCTCATTAAATCTCATATTAAGGTATATTCTCTTATTAAATCCACAAAATTATTTTTAATATTATAAAAATAAATATTTTGAAAAATAATTTGAAAGCAAAACTATTTTCTTCCCTCCCAATGGTGGGTAAGCAATTCAACCATTTTGTGCCAAATGAGTTAATAAATAATGTCACAATTAAATAACAAAAAGTTAAAATATATAAAATATATAATACAAAGAATAAAAAGAATTGAATATATCTCTAATATTGCATATTCATTATACTAAATAAAAATATGTATGAAATGTAAAAGTAATTTTATTAATGATGAAAATGGAATGCCAAAGTTAAAATCAACCCATAAATGAAATGATGTCATAGTCAAATAATAAAATTTTAAAAATATAAATATAAATAATAACAAAAATAAAAATAGAAAAAATTTGGGCACATATCTAATGTTATATATTCATAAAAATAAATATTGGGTACATCTCCAATATTATACATTCATTATCAATGATGGAAATGTAATATAAAATTTAGTATCAACCTAGAAATCAAATTATTTTCCTTTTTGGGTTTTGGGTTAGTGGTTTGGGTCAAATGGATTAATCGGTGATATCATAGTTAAATAATAAATTTTTAAAAAATAAAAAGTACAAGTAATTAAAAGAATATATAAAAATTATGTCAAACAAAAATTAAGTATGATAAGTAAAAATTATTTATATAATGTAGATGACATATAATTTAAAAAATAAATCCAAAAGTAAAGTTATTTTCTTATCTAGGTGGTGGATCAATGATCTAACTTTTCAAAGAAACTCATCAAGTCATAATTGAATAATAAATATTTAAAAAAAAAAGATAGAACACAAACAATGAAAAAGTACAAAATTATATCACATTTGGGAGCAATTATAATGTTATATATTCATCATAATAATAAAAATAATTGTTAAAATATATATATATATATTTTATTTATGGCAAAAATAGAATAAAATAATAATAATAATTGTTATTGTAATTTAAAATTTTCACATACAATGCATGTACACATTTACTACAAGGATTTAAGTTTATTTTTAATTTTATTCTTACTTTGTTAATTTTAAATTTTATCTTAATTATGATACATATAAAATCAATTAATTAATATGAAAAAAATTTTCGCATGCAATACATTACCGTAAGATAGCGACTGGTTGGTTGGTAATGCCTCGTGCTGGCTGTAAGGAGGCTTAGAGGCTTAGATAGAATCCCGCCCCGTTGTGTAACCCCACGGAGAAAAAATAATAATAAAAGACTATCTATCGGTACAATTGACAGCAGGTAGAAAGGCGTGGCCGGATCTGCTCCGCACAGCGTCTCACACCGATCTCACAGAATCTTATGGTCGTACATCGGGAGCATCTTTCGTATTTATATTTATTATTTATAGAGAGATGTTCCCTTTATGTGGCTGTGAAATCGGTGTGAAGCGCCCCAATTCACATCTAAACAAATTAATAGAAGAAACACGTGTAAGGCGGTGCATGATAATACGATGTAACGTACTACATTACGCAGCTTCCCCATGCGAGGATCGATGAACGATCTCAAAAATTTCAGAGTTGGCTTGATTTTAGGCTTGTAGGTTACATCTACGGAAAGACAAATGTTGGACTAGCAAAGGCGACCAGACCATCATCCTGTCTCACCCTGTGAAATTGGAGCATTTCGGTTATAATTCGTTGACGCGAAGGAAGCTTCTGTATTGGGCCGCGGGCGTTTCAGCGTATCACCGTATCAAATATAGGCCTTACGTTACATTAGGGTTTACTTTTCTTTATCTTTTTCCTTCCATTTTCGCCCTGATACGACTCGACGGTCGGATTTCCTTCGCCGGAATTGTAATTTCTGTCAGAAACTCCGACCGCGATCGTTGGGCCTTTCTCTAAGCTCACCTGTATATTGGCCCACGTTCAATCGGTTCTTTAAGGTTTGCATGCTAGAGAAATTCAGACAGGACGGTTGATTGATCAAATAACCGATTCCTCCGTTACGGAGTTCTAAGTTTATACTCGGGATGCATTCCTGTGATTTTGTTTCGAACAGGAATCATTGGTTATAGATGAATCATCGGGGTTCTTAGACAATTTGGAGTTTTAATTGCCACGAATAGATTTACTCTGTAAAATTTTCATCAAACCGGCGGTGTCTCGCCTCGCCGTCAGGCTCGATAAATTATTATTTTGTTACTGGAGGTGGACTGAGGGGATTTTGGTTACAAATTCAGCTGCAGTTGGTCATCTTTCCATTCAGTTAGCTGCAGTTTTATTGGAGACTTTTGACTCGATCGTCCTTGCTGTTATTATTTGCAGAGGAGGATAATTTGTTATACAGGGTTTTTGAAGGAACACAAGGATCAGAGGTTGTGTTTCCTTGTGAGCGAGGATGACTAGTCATGGAGGTTCTTCCAGAAAAAGCTCGGCTCTCAGTACCTCATCATCGCAGGGAAAGAAGAAAGCTTTGGAGATTGGAGGCCCCGACCCCAGACGGAAATCTTCTGCTTCATCTCGTTCCAGTTCCATGTATGCTGTCCTTTCTCTCTATCACACCTTGAAAAGTTTCGCTTTTGTATTTTGTATCTGGATGCATTTTAATTATAGATTCGGTTCTAGTTGCGAAACCCTCATTTCTTTGTTATGATTAATGTTAAACTCTATGGATTATTTTCTAATTTTTCAGTCTTAGGTCTGGGCTTCTTAAATTTTCTGTCTCCTAAGGGGCAGATGCTCCTAAAAGAACTACTGGGTTGAGAATCAAATTTGATTTCTTTGTTTGGTTTCTTGTTCACGTTGCTATATGAAAATTGCTGCAGTTCATTTATGGAATTTGCATTTTGTTTTCATTTCTGTCCGTTGTTTATCACACTCACTTAAGGTAATTTACGAGGAAAAGAAGTATAGGTTTGGGGGTTGAGGATTTGGTTGTCACGGAAGAAATGTAAGTCTGAAATCTGAATTTCTAGGCATTCCAAGAAGATGGATATTTTAACATAGGCACCATGAGTACGAGGATTGATTCAACAATCCCAATTTGGCTTCTTTTGTCTAAACCAAACATAAACTCCAAAATCTAATTGAGTTGATATTTCTGATGTTCTTAAATTTCCACTAAACATTATTGGTAATACTGAATACTCTATCATGAAGAGGTTATTCACTCCATTATTTTCTCTGTCAATGAATGCTAAGATAAGTTAGTCTTAAATTCTTGCTGCTGGTGCAGTTTGAATTTATGTTCTGTTACAGATGACAATATAAAGAGAATAATGTGCTATTTGTTTATGTAAACAGAATATTATCCAACATATTTGTCAAAATTCTTACTTATTTATTGTTTATTAATGTGCATATCCACATATTACAATACCATGCAAACTTAAAATAGAGGAATTTCAGTGACATTATTCCTTGTATTTGGGGACAGAATGCTAACTGGTGAGCGTACAGTCAAGCGGTTGCGATTGTCAAGGGCCCTTACAGTACCTGAAAGTACAAATGTCCATGAGGCTTGCCGCCGGATGGCTGCTCGCAGAGTTGATGCTTTGTTGCTAACTGATTCAAATGCTTTACTTTGTGGGATCTTAACAGACAAGGTTCAACTTGATTTGCATCCTTTACTTTGTTTGCTGCAGTATGAATCCTTTTTCTGTTTAAGCTCATGAATGTGTTACTTTTCTCCTTTCTTTTTTTCTTTCTTTTTTGGGTTTCCTTCTTGGTGATTTAAGGACATAGCAACAAGAGTCGTTGCTCGTGAGGTAAATATTGAGGATACACCTGTCTCCAAAGTCATGACAAGGAACCCAGTTTTTGTTCTTTCAGACACACTAGCTGTGGAGGCTCTGCAGAAGATGGTGCAAGGTTTGTACCGGCTGGGAAGCACATATATCATTCATTATCTTTCTTGGACAACTTACAATAATTTCTTGGACTATATAATCATGTTTTCAATGCTTTACCTACAGGAAAATTTCGACATTTGCCTGTTGTGGAGAGTGGAGAGGTAATTGCTTTACTGGATATTGCAAAGTGTCTGTATGATGCTATTGCACGAATGGAAAGGGCTGCTGAGAAAGGAAAGGCCATTGCGGCTGCTGTAGAAGGAGTGGAAAAACAATGGGGAACTTCAATATCTGGTCAGTAGAGAGTGTTACTAAAAATGAAGTTTTCCCTGCATCAATTGTCTTGCATGCAAAACTTCTTCTTCTTCCGTATAAATTTTGTTAGACTTCTTAAGACATTTAGGTTTCATGCCATTTTATATGTGGTTATTTGCATTACAGGTCCCAATACTTTCATTGAAACTCTTCGAGAAAGGATGTTTAGACCCTCTTTATCTACAATCATTTCTGAGAATACAAAGTAGGTAATATCCTCATTTTCAATTAGATTCTTTTAAGCTTCCCTGGGATTTTGTTTCCTGAACAAACACTTAGTTTAATTGACTGAGAGTGCTCATTTCAGGGTAGTAACTGTCTCACCTGGTGAGACAGTCTTAACAGCAGCAAAGAAGATGCTAGAGTACCGGTTAAACTCTGCAATTGTAAGTGTTGGAAACAAACCACAGGGAATTCTAACGTAAGCATCTTCTTAGTCAATGCATCACATTCTGGATTTTTTTGGGTTAAATTGTCAAAAATGGTTAAGAACTTGATGTAACTTTGTTATCCTTAAGACAAACTCTCAATGTTAATGTCTGTTGCCAAACTCCTTTGTCAGTTCAAAGGATATATTGATGCGGGTCATAGCACAAAATCTTTCTCCAGAATCAACTCCTGTAGAGAAGGTATGTATCATACATAAATGGTTTTGTCCAGCTCAAATGAATATTTTTTTTTCTTAGTCTCTTTTTGCATTCATTTCAACATTTCTTTTCTCAAACCTTACACTGTCAACTAAGGAGCATTTTATGTTCCTTTGGGTAAAACAGATTTTACACCTGATTCTTAAACATAGTTTACTGGAATCTGATATTCAGGTCATGACCCCAAATCCTGAATGTGCAACAGTGGATACACCAATTGTTGATGCTCTGCACACAATGCATGATGGGAAGTTTTTACACCTTCCTGTTACGGATCGAGGTATTTATATATTCTGCCAAAAGAGAATTTAGTAACTGGTATCCTGTTACTCTTGTTCTAATTTGATAAGTTTGGATTTTGCAACAGATGGAAGCATTGTTGCTGTTATTGACGTACTTCATATTACAAATGCTGCCATAGCTACAGTAAGTTGAACCAATGTTCAGAATTCATTGTACTCCAATTATGTCTTCCGTCCATTTTATCTTTCTTTTTTAATAATTGATTTAGTATTTGCACTTATAATGATATAGAAGTTGCATGCATCTCATGTTAAAGGTTGTGTAACAAGTCACAAGCCCTATATATTAGGCACTTGTAACTTGCCAGTTTTGTTAAAAGGCACAAAAATATAATATGCTCTGGTAATATTATAATGTGATTTAGTGCTAGAGATATTTATGTTGAAGTGTTGAACTTTTCTAGTATTTAAAGATTCTGTAGATGTTATAGTTTCTGTTTACCAGTGTCCTAATTAGCTACTTCCAGTGTCATTCTGTAACTGCAAATATATTTTCATGTCAGGCCTTTTTGGTGTTTCTTATTTATGAGTCTGATATTGCCACAATTATCTTAGTTACATAGTGAAAGGTGCATAACAAAGACAAACTAGATTGATGTTTTGGAAATCTTCTGGTAGATGGATATCCTCATAACATCTTTGCTTCAATTATCACAGATGTTAAATTCTAATTGCAACACAATGAAGTATGGATTTCATGTATTTAGAACTACTTGTTGGACTTGAAAAATCATTAACTCTTTGAGTGATGTAAAGCTAAAAGTTGAGGAAAGGGATGTCAAATCTGTCCTTTCATCTGGATCTATACAGGCTTTCTAGGGGTTCTCATGATTATATGCTTACAAATACAATGTGAACCTGACTTTATTCCTGAACCTTAAAATGTTCAACAAGCCCAAGGGAAGTCAAACTTGTCCCTTCATCTAAGATCTATACAGGTTTTCCAGGGGCTCTCATGATTAGATGCTCACATATAATAATGTAAACCTGACTTTATTCCTGAGCCTTAAAATGTTCAAGTCCAAGCCCAATAAATTGCTGAATTGGTTCAAGTTCCCACAACATTGAGCCTATCTCAGCAAGCCCAGGACATCTTTTTTTTATCAGCAAAAAGATTAATTATATTAATAGGTGAAAAAAGTCACAGCAGTTTGGGTATCTGTTCACCCAAGAATACAGAATACATTAATGTCCAATAACAAGTTACAATAGGGCCCAAAATAGCTGCTGCCTAAATATCGCTTGCTTAGTGTCAGCCATCCCATTAGCCATCCAGTGTGTCCAAGTAAAAGAAGCACCCAAGTCTGCTTTCACTTTCAGGCTTTCCATCAGCAAGCCTGGGGTACCAGTTGCCAATTTGTGCAGACCCCATGTGATATGTAAAAGATTCACTTCCAATCATCTTCTCAAATCTCATAGTCAATTCTTTTAAAGATTTGATTGGATACTCAAGATTTGTTGAATATATGAAGATTTAGAATATTCATTTTCTAACAAATATTTCTTCTTTTTAGTTTCATTGTTTAGATAATAAATATATTGTAATGTAGATCTCAGAAGATATATTTTAAATCCTCCATATAAACCAATATGCTCATGTCTTTGGTGTACATGGGCATATTGTAATTACTCATACTCTTTTTCAATGAAGTACATTACACCTTACCTTCTTAAAATTATATAAAACCTATTAACAGAAATAAAAGGAAGAGATAGAGAGGAGAAGAGAGAGTAGAGAGAAGAGAAGAGGAAGAAGAAAGATCAGGAGACAAAAGGTTGGGCTGGTGGCACCCACTTCTTTATTTATAATAGAGAAACAAAATAAAAAAGATGAAATTACATCTATACCCCTGTCCGACATTCTAATGAGAAATAACATAAAACTAACATGGGACAGCTTTCTAACAGTTCACTAATGGCACTATGACAACAAAACCAATGTAGACACCCTTAGCATTGATTGAATGAATATCCTAATACTGGATCTTGCAGAAATTGTTTTCTTTGGTTCAATACATACCCGGTATTTCTACATCATTGGAATATAGTTGAGTATGGTGTTTCAGTTTCTTTATTTTGCTTCCCCTTCAAATAAACTAATTGTGTTATGCAAGGGTAGAGTATCTCTGCATGACTATTCCATTTATATGTTCCATTTCCTTTTCCAAAGAAATATAGAATATGGACATTTTCTGGTGGTTGACATGTTGTTAATTTTAACTCCTCAGGTGTTTGGTAGATTTTACAGATTTTGGGAAGACAGAAGTCCAGAAATTAGCATTTTTCTTTCCAGATTTTTGCTTTTCTATTATTTTACTAGTAAATATGCATGGGTGTTGTACATGGCAATTTCAAATGATTTCAGTGTTTTTATCAAAACCAATGTAACAAAGATAAGTAATCAAAGCATGGCGCATTAGTGGATTTATTATCTTTCAACCTAAAAACCCAGCTTCAAACCAACTGATGGTGGCCCAGTTGATAGGTTCTCTGGCTATTTGTAGTGGAGACCTGGGATCAAATCCCGCTGCCACCAAGGTTGGGGGGTTATGGGTTTGGAGGATGGGCTACCCTATTGTGTAGCCCCATGAAGCCAATAAAATAAAATAAAAGATAAGATAGAAGAAGAGAATGCTTTATTGAGAGAATACCCTAAAAGGCAGATAAGTATTAAAGAAAAGGCCAACCCACCCAAACACATCTCTGGCAAGAGTCTATATAAAGAAAATTAGCTTGTATACATATTACTTATAAAATCCAAGACATTACACAAATCCCTCTGAACAGATCTTCTATTCACACCTTCAGAATCTGGAAGGACAAAGCCAAATCATGGATGAGGGATGAAGTTCGCAGATAGATGCATAGGAAAAGGATTCATGCTCCAAAATCTCCAACATACTGCAAAAGGATTCATGCTCCAAAACATTTTTGCATTAGAATCATCTGAAAAACTTTTAACTGGAAAAATACATTTGCATTGTGTAGTAGCAAATGATTTAGTGTTTTTTTCACTAAATTTTGGAGTAGCAGGTCTATGCTGAAAAGTTATATTTATTAGATGTTTTTTTTCTTCTTCTGTAATATTCTTTCATGGGAAATATTTTTTTTTTCTTGCATAAACTAAGGTGGGAAGTAATGGTGGAATTGGAAATGAGGCTACGAGCACCATGATGCAAAAGTTTTGGGATTCTGCAATGGCATTGGGATCAGTGGAAGATGAAGAAGAGACACGAAGGTTAGACTCTTATGTCATTGCAGTGAAGCATTTCTGGTTTAGGACTCAAATTGTTTTTAACACATGGTGATTTTTCAGTGAGGGATCCATAAAACTGCCTTCCGAGGGAACAGACTTAGGGAAGTCTACTTATCTTTCATATGCCCCCCCTAACACGTTCTCATTCAAGATTGAAGATAAAAAGGGTCGGATGCACAGATTCAACTGCGGTATGATGCCTCTTCTCATCTAGCAGCAGAAAGTTATTTGTCTAATGAGGAAATCTAATGTACCAATTTGACGAGGGGTCAATAAACTTTGTTCTTTATAGCAAAGAGAAAAATCATTAAAGAAAAAGAGAAAAGATAGATCAATAAAAAGTAGAAAGTATTGCTTATCAAAAATAAAAAATAGAAAATATAAGATACAATCTCAGTTGATAAGATATTACCAAGGCAAAAAGAAAACCACAGAATCACCCCCAGCCCCTGCTACCACCTTCAACATGGTTGACCACTTCACCAGACAAAAGACCGAAAGAAAATACATATAAAAGCCTATATCCCCTCTACAGATCAACTAACTTACCCCAATGCACATAGCCCCTACCTTTCACCCTCTGGTCAACACCCTTAAAATTATGTCCTCATCCCCTCAAGCCCTACTTAGAGAGCTATAATCTGCTTAGTTGCTGGAAAACTGGGTATGTAGTTTGTAAAATTTTTGTTCTCTTCTAACTTCATGAACACCATTCTGGCAAACCCAACTCCTTATCCACCTCAATTTCTTTCTTTGACAATCCTATCAATACCCACCTGCTTATCAATTTTATGCACTTTGTCCAACAATTCCTCATCTTCATTAGGCTCTTCCCCTAGTTCCTCCATCACTTCACCTTCCAAATCCACTGCACCAGTTCTATCCAAATCAACCATATTATCTTCCATTAGTGTTATTCTTTTTTTTTTTTTTTGATAATTGAAAAGCCATTAGTGTTATTCTATACTTTGACTTTTGAGAAATGTCTTCCATAGACAACTCTTGAGATTTAATTTCAGAATCTATAATATCACAAGACATATATCCAAAGCCTTAATTTGACTGTCATTGTTAGTAGCTCCAATCACTAAAGCATCCTTTGAATTGCTTTTCATAACCAGACATCCTTCACACTCTGTGAAATTTGATGGCCAATAAACAAGAATTTAGCGTGGTCTTTAGACGACCTTTTAGTTATTTCGACTGGTGATTATCTTTTTGTTACCAGATGGCTGGTGCTATTCACAGTCGGCCAGTATTCTGATGTGGTTTCAGCAAGAAAACCAAAAGAACAATAAAAGAAAAACCAGAAGAAAGAAGAGAGGAGGAGAGAAGAGAATAGAAGAGAAAAGGAGCAGATCTTAATCAGTTTCTGCCGCCCAGGTTTAGTATTTATATGTTTCTATTATAACAAGATCTACAATGACATCTATGCCCCTACCACCCAAAACACTCCTTAATAAACAATAACAACAATAGTAACAACAACTATAGTAGGCCCAGTAAGGTCTAGAAAGACTAATAACAAAGGCCCAAAATACTAATAACAAGTAAATAAAAAAGACAACTAATATGTCAAGGACTTCACAAATCTATTAGACTATTTCTCCACACTCCCCCTCAAGTTGGGAATAGATATTAGTCATTCCCAACTTGCATAAGTCTGTCTCTAACTTGACCCTTGTAACTGCTTTGGTGAAGAGATCAGCAAGCTGTATATGGGAGGCAACATAAGGAAGGGACACTTATTGGGAGGCAACTCTTTCTCTGATAAAGTGTTGATCCACCTCAATATGTTTGTTTCTATCATGTTGTATTGGATTATGAGCAATATTAATAGCAGCCTGATTATCATAATACAACATTAGGGGCTTTTCATATTCAACCTCCAACTCCTCAAGTAATGATCTTAATCATTACACTTCAGCCACCCCATTATCCATAGATTTGTACTCTGCTTCAGCATTGGAGCGGGCGACAACAGTTTGTTTCTTACTCTTCCAAGAAACAAGGTTGCCCCCAACATGGGCATTGATTTGAATCTTGTTTAACTTTTTTTTTTTTAAAATCTCCTATCATCCACACATCCAGCCCAGTCTGCATCAGTGTACACTTCTATCTTCATATGACCATTATTCTTGAAGAATATATCTCTACCTGAACACCTTTTTAAATAGGCAATATCCTTTCAACTGCAAGAAGGTGAGATGTTCTGGGAGACTACATATAATGGTTGACAACACTAACAACATAAGAAATATCTAGGCATGTTAGACAGAGGTAGAAAAGCTTCCAACCAGCCGTTGATATAGCTTTATCTTCAAGTGGTTCACCCCCTTCCGCATTTATCTTATGGTTTGGCTCAATTGGTATGTCTGCTGGTTTAATTCCCAATCACTTCCTACAAGTTGTCAATCTCATAAAGGAATTATTTTCTACTCAGAAACCAATGAGTGCCAGTACCAATTGAAGGTTTAGCCCCTAAACCTTAATCTGATCCAAAGAACTTTAATTCTTCTTGGTTATTGGTGATCTCCAAGATTGCAGATCTTGGGCAGCAAGAATTTCTCCAATAAACCTCCAAGAATCAGGCAAGACAGACTGAAATATCCAGCCCTAATACATCCTCATGTAGCCAGCTAGAAGAACCCTACATAGAAACCCTAGCAAGCCCTAAACCTTGCTTTGATACCAAGATGGCTGGTGCTGTTCACAGTCGGCCAGTATTCTGATGTGGTTTCAGCAAGAAAACCAAAAGAAAAATAAAAGAAAAACCAGAAGAAATAAGAGAGGAGGAGAGAAGAGAATAGAAGAGAAAGGGAGCAGATCTTAATCAGTTTCTGTCGCCCAGATTTCACATTTATATGTTTCTATTATAACAAGATCTACAATGGCATCTATGCCCCTACCACCCAAAATAACAAGAATAGTAACAGCAACTATAGTAGGCCCAGTAAGGCTCAGAAAGACTAATAACAAAGGCCCAAAATACTAATAACAAGTAAATAAAAAAGACAACTAATATGGCAGGGACTTCACCAATCTACTAGACTATTTCTCCACATTACCCTTTCTTTTGAAAAAGGTAAGGTATAATTGTATTAAGTATCAAAAGATGTGTACAAAAAAGGTCCTTTGTACAAAGAGTTTCTGTACAAATGAACAAATCTTAAGGACCCCCAAAAGCATCCACTTCCAAAAAAGAAGATGAAGTGAATTCTCGTTCAAAAACAGTAGACATCCAGCTTCTAATCATTTCTATAGCAGAATTGATTACTGCCTTCTCCAGACTTGCTCCCTGTTCAAACACTCTTAAGTTTCTTTCAAATCAATAGCCCACAAAACTGCTTCTGGAACAGGTGCCCAGCAGCAATTCCCTTTTTCTGTCGTTTCCTGGAACATGCCAACCAATTATGCCTTATCTGAGGCGTGGCAGAACCAAAAAAGCAGCAAAAAGAAGTGCCATATTCTGGTTGGGAAGGTACAGTAGAGGAAAAGATGAGCAATTGCTTCATTCTCGTTATTGACAGGGGGCAGAGAGATCAGGTAGATTCATCCCCTTGCTGGCTAATGTATCATTCGTTAAACATCTATCCCAGGCCACCAACCAAAGAAGAACTTGACTTTTGAAGGAGATACTATACTCCATATCACCTTGTAAGGAAAAGAATTCTCCAAATCATCAATATCCCTTATATAAAGACCTCAGTATGAAGAGACCAGATTTTGTCCATCTCCACTTTCTAGGATCTTGAGATTGTGGGTTTACTTGCTGATTTTAAATCAATGCAAGGAGCTATCTTACTTCTTGCATCTCTCAGTCATTGAAATTTCTTCTAAAAGAGGGATTCCAGGTAAGAGTCTTCTACTAAAATATCACTACTGCTAGCCACTCTTAAACAGGTTTGGGAACAAATCCTTCAACACCCTATCATTGCACCAAGGATCGTTCCAAAACTTAATTCAACTGCCATTCCCTACTTGGTATTTTATACCTTTGATAAAACAAGGGTAAACCTTATTTGTTTCCCTCCAAACACTGCAACCTATGGTTCAATTCAAAGATTTAATTTCCAATAGGCTGTGTTTGGTTTGAAAGAAAAGGTAGGGAAACCTGTATATGGTTTAATAGACCATATATTGTCTATACCAGGCCATAACTGACAAACAACATCAAAACAATTTGACTTTTGACTGCATTAATACATACTTAAATAACCTTTCTGACAGTACCAAGTCAAAGGAGATCTAGTCAATGTTTAATATTGAAAAATGGATCCAGGCTTAAACCTGTTGGCCCAGTTTGAATCAGAGTAGCAATAGCAAACAGCTTGTTCCAAGAAGTTAGTAGATTGAAACCGTTGGATAGCTGTGGTGCTTGGTTTTGGGCCTGAGAGATCTCTCAGATGAACCCACTTACTAAAAGCTCAGGTTTCCTCATTATCTAAATTCTACAGACTTTTGATTGTATTCTATAATTGTGGAAATAACTTTTGCTATTGCTGCTGACTTCAGAAACACAGAGTTTGACAGATGTTATAGCTTGCATCCTTCAGAGGGTGGGAGATGACATCGACCGGAACCATGTCCCTCAAATTCTGGTATGTTGAAACTTCTTAGTAACCTATTTGTTTATTTACTTTGGGGGAAGAGGCTTGCATTATATTATCTTGGCTGTGTTTTGTAGTATGAAGATGAAGACCACGACAAAGTCATGCTTGCATCCGATAGTGATCTTGGAGCAGCTGTGGATCATGCAAGGCAAACTGGTATGAAGGTATGATTCTTCATTATTCTCTTATTTCAAGGCAGGATATTAAAGAATTCATCTTGTACGTTGACTACTAATAGCGTACCAACTGAGATGAAAACATGCACAAAGGTTCAGTTTGCTTGGAACGTGATATTTGTTTTATATAGAACTGTATATTTTTATGGGTTCAACTATGATACTGGAAAAACTTACAGCCAACCAACCAGTATCATAAAAAAGATGGCCAATCGGGGGATATTCATCAGAGTTCACGGCAGTGCTTTGATTGTTCAAAGCTCTTTTGGTACCATGTCTTTCCCGGATCATAGATTTTTCCATATTTTCACTAGTTATTTTTACTAGGCACTGGTTCAGAGCCTCAGGGGTAAGTAACCAGTAACTAGAATGATGAAGACAGGTCTCATTCTAGGGTCTGGGGTTTGACTCCTTCAAATTTACCAAGTGGTGCTCTGTAATATGAAGGATATCAAAGTGGCAACAAGGTTCAAAAATTTTGAGGGGTATATTGGGATTCTGAACCTCACTCGTTATGTTTTTTTTCGTTTCAAAATTTCGGGGGGGGTTGGTTGGGAAATAAGGCTATTTAACATATAAAGTAAACGTCCTTCAAAAATTCCTATAAGCATATTGGTGACCCACTTATATGATATTACGCCACTATCATCCGATATATAACAAAATTTTGAACCCTGGTGGCAGGATCTTTTTCTTTTCTCTTTTCACACTGTAATCTAAGAAGCTCTGAAACATCCTTTCTAGAATTTATCGACATACCCTGGCATCCCAGACCTTCCACAGATGAAATCTGGTGCAGAACAAAATTGTTGAAGTTATAAGCACAGATGAAAGTAGTGAACTTATCATAGTGATAATTGTTCAAGAGTCAAGACTCCCTTTTTTATAAAAAATAAAATCCTTGTTGAATTGAACAATCTCTAACATTGGTTGAAATCTGTAACAGGGTCTAAGGCTGTATTTAGATTATTCAGGCACGGATGATCATAGGAGGGCTGGGTCTGGAAGTTTGAGTTATGCACACAAGGATGCATGGGCTGCTGCATACAGTACAGTTGCAGCAGGTGCTGCACTTGTAGCAGGACTCGGTGTAATGGCATACTTGAAGAGATCCTGATTAGAGTGTCATACAGAGGAAGAAACATCTTTTGGGCCCACAGATTACCAATCTCTTCGACTCCCTAGGGGGGGGGGGGGAGGAATGGGGAGATTACAATACTACAAGACATGAGGCAAATGCGTTTCTCCAACGCTAAATGTGTATTGATTTGCGGGAATGAATAATGATATTCAGAAGGTTGAACTTGCATTTAAGGGGAAAAACTTTCCAACTTGCTATTACCATTCAAGTAATTCATGTTTTTTATTCTTAATAAAAGAAACAATGGACGATTCTGGTTTAATCAATAAATTGGGTCAAATCAATCCATTTATATATTGATGATTGGTGATGATGCACCTCCGAGAATTGCAACTTGACCTGGTCAATCCCATGGCCTTAGCAGCCAGTTCACGTCACAGCAACAAGCCAACAACTCCCATACCCGTATGTTGTTATTACGGGGAGGTGTTCCCAATACACGGCTGATTTGTGCTATGAGGTCAGTCGTCAGTGTGAGGAGCGCTCTGTGAAGAGCAGATCCGAACTCCTTGGCAGCTGCTAAGTTACTGGTCAATGGCCTTAGCAGCTGTGTTTTTGTTTTGATTACATTCATATGGTGCTCATTCTCTGTGTTAATGTGTTATATCCAAGGTATTAGTATCAACGTTTTTGCGATACTAGGTTGGTTTCTGATTCAATTCGGTTAAGGGTGACTCGATCCATTTATAATTCAATCTGATGTGATCTATTTTTTGCTTTATTTGATCTAAATGTATATGCTTATATATACTTGGAATTTATATTCTCTTTATTGATAAAGTTTGGTTCAATCGTTGTACTTTTACCAAAGAATCATTGGTTCAAGTTTCATGAAATTTATTTTCAGTATATATTCTCATTTGTGATTGATGGTGACGAACAGTAGATGAAGTGTCTGATGAGTTGGACAAGCTGTGCTGGATCCAATGATCTATGCACGCAAATGGTCAAGGGTCCCAAATGGGGTTGTTAATGGATCAGGTCTACCAGGCAGACCCAAACCGACCTAACCAATTATAACAATTCTAGTTTCATGATTTTTTTTGTTCTTAATTTTCTTATTTATCATGTTTTATGTTTGAAATGATAAATTTGATAGATAATAGATAAGATAATATTAGTTAACATAACATGTAAATTTAAATAACTTTTTTATTAATGTTATATTATCAAAATTAAAGTTATTATTTAAATAAACAAATATAATTTTTAACATAATTGGGTCTAGACATGATAGACCCGAGTATTAACCAGGACGGTTCTGGGTTTGTGATTTTGTCCTGATTAATAATTGATTCAGGATTCGTTTAATTAGACCAAACCGATTGACAACCCTAGCTCCGAGGTGGCTTCTTAGGAAAAAGCACTATGGCGCCCAAGTCAATAAGCATATATGGAGGTCGATGAGGCCAAACTATTAGGATGAGCTGGTCATAACTAAGCAGAGGAGTTCGGAAAGCAAGTGAGCTAGAGAGTAAGAGAGCGAGAATGCCAGAGTGTGAAGAAGAAGAATACCTTGATTGGCAATTTGGCATGCCTTTAAATACCTATTGGGGTGTACCTTTGTGCTCTTCACTTGAGGGACACATGGCGTGTCCCAAGGTCGTCCTCGACCCAAGTTCTAGGAGTGTATTCCTCAATCCTTGTGTGAAAGGCAAGATGAGGGGTGTAGTCTGCTTGGTATTCACCACGTGTCCCTAGTTGTCTGAGATTCGTGGCGTGCAACGACATCCATTCCCTCGACGAATGTGGATCCACTACATCATCGACCTCAACATCAATTAGGCTCGAGGCTCATCATAAAGTGTCATTCAAGTTTAATTCTATATTATTATTCATGTGGTGATTTAGTCAGGGTGATTCACGATTCTATCAGTGATATATAATATCATAATCATTTTTAGTTCATATTTTTAATAATATATAAAATTTTGATCATTTTTAATTAATGACACCTTGAATATCTGAATATTTATAATCAAATTTGAACCCCCTTATATCAAATACGATCCATTTACAGTTCTACATCCTTATATTTGTCAACTTAATTTTTAGTAGACAAACTAGCGGGATGCATGGAATTTGTTAAGCGAAAGCTAAATAATAGAAACACATAAGAGTATATAATTGTTTTATATTTTTTAACTTTTTAAATAATTAATAATTATTTATATTTTGGGTTCGACTATGATATGCGAAAGATATGATATCTGAAAATTTTTTTACCAAACAATTGGTATCATAAACGTGGTAGCCAATCAAGTGTTATTTATCAAAATTCATGAGTGGATTTTGATCGATCAAAACTCTTTCAATACCATATATTTCCCGCATCATAGATTTTCCCTTATATTTTATATATTACTTTTAATAATTTTTTTTATAATACAAAAATAGCAATAATTAATTCCAGCTAGGGTTGTTCATCAAACTGATGAAACTGACCAACTCAACCCTAATTGGTCGATTTTCTAGTATTTGTAGTTGGCTTTAGTTCAACAATTCTCCATCTAACCAAGTTGGATTAGCTTCGCTTTGGCCAATTGTAAATTGACTAAAATTGAATGGCCCAATCATATATATATATATATTTAATATATTTTTTTAATACAGGAAAATGGGAAATTTCCCATATTTCTTAGTCTAAAATATTTTATATCATAAATTTAATTTTTAAATTTGTTTTTTAATAATGTCACTATAATTTTGAAAATTTTAATTTAATTTTTTAAATTTAAATCTTTTGAACCAACCTACCAAACCGAAAATCAACCCAAAACGATACAACCTGAGTTAGTCGATTTTCACTAATGGCTAGTTGATTTCGAATGACCAACTCCCCAACCCGACCAGGTTGATTTGGTTGGCCAAACATCCTACAACCAAACCGAACCAACTTGTAAACACTCTTAATTTTAGCTAAATTAATAGTTTAATCTCTAATAAATAACAATAATTTAATCTCTAATGATTATTGAAAATTTATAGTGAAAATGTACAACTATTGAAAATACATTGATAATGAAAATATAATAAATAATTAATAAAAATACAATAAATACTAAAAAATATATTAAATTAATCAATAGCTAGTATAATCTCAAATAATAGTTTAATCTCTAAGAAACATTAATCAATAAATTATAACAAAAATACAATAAGTACAATAGATTAAATTTAAAAAGTTAAATAACAATAGTTTAATCTTCAATAATTATTGAAAAATTCTGTTAAATAACAAAAAAAAGATTTATACATAATTATTGAAAATATATTTATCGCAAAAAAATAAATACTTATTGAAAATACAATAAATATTATTTTAGCGTATATAAATATATAATGAGTATAGATTAAGATTTTAAAATTATTATTAATAAATATTAAGTTTTTGAAGTTATTTTCTATAGTTATTAATTGAAATAAGTGAAATTAGTTATTTAAATTTTAAAATATTAATTATTTATTAAATTTAAGAATTCCTAAAATTATAATTTATACTATTATTACATAATTTCGTTATTATTTTTGTAAAATATTAAGTTATTATTAATTTGAATATTATGTTATAATTATTTTTCTAGTTTTAAGAAAATTTTTAAATTTATTATATAATATTAAATTTTTTAGATATTACATAATATTAAATTTTTTAAAGTTATTACATAATATTAAATTTGTTATATAATTATTTAGATATTTTTAATATTTTTATTGAAGATATTTAGTTATTGAAATGTTTAAATATTATTTTATTTTTTAATTTTATTTCGTTTATTATTTGAATAACATTTAAATTGAATAATCCAGAAAACCATAATTTAAATTGTTAGTACATAATTTTATGATGAATTTTGTAAAAATATGAAATTATTAATAATTTGAATATTATTAAATCTATTGTAATTATTTTGTGTGTTTTTAATAAATATTTTAATGTTATTATATAATTTCATTATAACATTAAATAATTTTTAAACTTTTAGTTCAACTTTCTTTATATAGATATAGATAAAAAGTGGAGGAGAGGATAAATAGGAATTAGAGATAATTTAGGAGAGAAATAGGAATTAGATATAATTTAGGAGAAAGTGGGTGATAGTGGGGGAGGTAGCTTAGGAGAAATTTTAGGAGAGGATATCATTTAGGTTATTGGGAACGTGTGTGTGTGATAGAGAGAGAGAGAGAGAGAGAGATTTTATGTAATTTTTTATGGGAAAGGAAAGCATCTAATTGATTGTTTAAAAAATGAGATACAATAAAAAATAAAAAATGTATATATTATCTTTTACTATATAATGCCAATGCCTTGGCTTGATGTTTACATGTCTATAAAAAGAAACTAGTCCATTTATTTTCTTCTCTCTTTGATGAATTAGAACCCCTACAATAAATGTGGGGATTTTATGGATCAGCTTATAACCCACCCACCAAATACTTGGTAGTTATGGTTAGGGTTGTCAATGGTCTAGGTTTGGTGAACCAATTGTTAAAATTGGTAGTGCCAAAATCGAACCAGACTTGATCGGTTCTATTATTTCAAAACTGATACTAAACCAATGGGTAATTGAGACAAACGAGTCTACTTGATTGGCCCTGATTAAATAAATAAAAAAAAGCCATACTTAACAAAAAACAAAGAATGAACATCTCTCTCATGTCAATGGGTCGATGGTTCGATCGCTCGGGTCATTGGGTCATTGATTGATTCAACAGTTTTTACCCAAAGACCGAATCAACGAGTCAACAGGTTGATGGTTCCATTCCGGTCCCTACCAAGCAGGGCCCTCCACTAGTGTTGACATTAATCAAATAGATGATAAATTTTTCATAAATTTTGGTAAATAATAAAAATCAATATTTATAATCTTTTTAAAATTCAATGTTACACAAAGCGAGGCCTCATGCACTATTTCTTTTTCTTCTTTTCATTTATTTATTTATTTATTTTTGATGATTAGAGATATAGCTATTATTTCTTTGTGATCAATAATATATTGCTTTCTTGTAAATATGAATCTGTATGCATTCTGAGAGTAGCTATGACCCTCCCGGTATGTAATTACTCTATGTCATCATTGAATTGCTTTTTATCTATAGAGTATTTACTGTGTTTGGTTGCAGTGCAAATTCATTTGCACTGATGCAAAACTATGATAGTTCAAAAGATTTAGTTGCAAATTTTGATTTATTTTTGTTTCAAATTTTATCTTATTTGATTGCATTAAAAATGAAATAAAACAAGACTTAAAACAGAATAAAATAAAATTCAAAATAAAATTAAACCAAAAATTACATTTTTTATTTGCACTCTCATATATTTATGCTGGCTGGTACAAATAAAATTGCACTGCAACCAAACACACCATTAGGGAAGTTCTGAATCAAGCAAGAAAGATGTAGGAATAACGATGACATTACTTGATTGTGAGATGAAACTAGTGAGAGAGAAAAAAATAATACATAATTGTTAAAAATTAATAAATGCCTATATATAAATGGATAATTTTGTCTGATTTGTTTTTTATCACTGATCTGGTTATTATTTTTTTAAACAGTACCTTTTTGTCAATTGAATAAACTTTGTTATGTTTTGCAAGAAGTCCTTTTCTTGACTTTTTTATTAATTATCTATTGCCATACGAGAAATTAAAATATATCCTTTAATATCACTCTATATAGGTCAAAACTTATTTAATTATAAAACAAGTTTGGCATTCTCATTTTGTCTTTATAACAATTGTAGCCGTACATTGGGAACCTCTCCATAAATCTCACCATTCCTAGGTTTGGGAGGGTTATTGTGATAGCACACAAAAAAATAAAAAAATAAAAACCAAAATTATAACTTTGCCACTTTTCAATATATTTGTCGTTATTCCATCAAAGTCTTAGAGAAAATTCCCGATTACTTCCTCCTGTGCTAGTGCCACTTTTCTACCTAAACTTTAAAACTTTAAAAGGATTATAACATATAAGGACAACTTTAGGGCCTTAATATCAATAAAGGTAATACTTTTAAAAATAAATTTAAAAATATGTTAACTTTTTAAAAATAATATCAATTAAGGGCAAAAACATTGTTCATCTTATTCCTCTTGCAATCCATTCATCAGCACCATCGCCTTCGGTAATGTTTCTGTCCACCTCTGGCAACGTTGTTGGAGGTGGGCGGAGGAAAAGGCGGCAACGACGGTGCTAGTGGTCATTCCTCTGCTCAATGCCACCATCTCCGCCCACCAGTGCCGCTGCCACCTTTGCCTCCGCCCACCTTTGACAACGTTGCTAGAGGTGAAGGTGGAGGTGGCGGCATTGGGCAGAAGAATGACCACCAGCGCCACCTCCGACAACGTTACTGGAGGCGGAGGCGTTACCGAAGGTGGCGGCAGGGCGCGCTGATGAATGGATTGCAAGAGGAAGAAGATGAACAGTATTTTTACCCTTAATTGATATTATTTTTAAAAAGTTAACATATTTTTGAAATATTTTTTAAAACATTACTTTTATTGATATTAGGGCCCAAAAATTGCACTTAATGGCCTTATCTACTATAATCCCAACTTTAAAAGCAACAATTTAGTACACAAACTTTTAAAACATGTCAATCTAATACTTGTCGCTAACCAGCCTATTAACTAGCCATTAAGTGACATTTGAAAAGATACAAATATTCTTCGAGTGTCCTCTAATTTTTTTATCAATTATCTAAATGTTGATAAAAAATGAATAGTATCAAATCATTGTCTCTTCTATTCAAGAAAGTTGGGGTCATTAGACTAAACTACCTACTAAAACGTGACCTTAACTTTCTTGAATAGGATAGGTAAGGATTTTAGATTGATCATTTTTTATCAATATTTGAATGATTGATAAAAATAATTAAATAACACTTAAAAAGTATTTATATATTTTCAAATGCCACTTAATAGCTGGTTAATAACAAGAATGGCTCAGTTTCAAAGTTTGGATAAAAATAACATTAGACCAAAAGTAAAAGGTACTGATAAGGATTTTTCTCTAAATCTTATTATAAAGAGTTCTCTGTCTCAATGAAACTAGTGAAACGATAAAAAACAAATTAATAATTACTTTTGGTTCAATCTTAATTTGTTTTGAAACGATAAAAAACAAATTATGAAGAGTTCTCTACCCGTGGAAGTGCAATGTATTTATTAGAAAATACCAACAAAATACAAGCATATTTTGACTTATCAGCTGGACCTAAAATTGACGTCATTTTTTGAGAAATCTTGAAAATAAATTTCAATTTATATATAAATATAGATATTTAAAATAAAGGGCAGAATGAGAATTTCAAGGGCGGCGCAATTTTCTTCCAACACTCCTCAACTCTATAACTATAACTATAAGTCAAATCGATCTCGTACCGTACGTCGTTTCTCTCCAGCTAAACAACCTTTTCTTCTCTTCGATTTCTATATTTTTCTGCATCTTTTCATGTTTTCCGACAAATTTCACTGATCCTTCGATTCCTTCGTTCCAGTGTTCGTGTTCAACTCATTTCGTCCATCTCTGCAAATTCGATCAGTCTCCTCCTCCGCTTCCATCTTCCGCAAACAAACTTTTCAGCTTTTACTGGTGCTGTTTTCCGAACCTGGAACACCTGATTTCAGGTGTTGGTGGTCTATCGCCGGTGAGTGAAGAAAGGAGTTACTATGCAAATCGTTGAGCCGTGATTTCTATCTATTGAACACGATGCAGTCGGGTAACTTTCCAGTTTCTTTCTTTCTATTTGCATTTTGCTTTTTCTGTTTTAGTTTAAGTTTGTTCTGCGTTTGTGTGCTTCTCTGAGGTCCAAATTTGTTCAAGTTGATACTTTTTGTCCATTCTATTTTATTATGTCTTCTAGGAGCAGTTAGGAAATGTCTTCATCTTTGGGCTGTTGTAAGGCTGAAGATCTTCATATCTTTGCTATGGTTAAGATAATTCGTCTTGATTTTTTTAGTTCCATGAGAATGCAAAGGATTAGGTACTGATTTTCTGGAACTTGTAGCCGGTTGAATTGTTAAATGTTACTTTCAGCAGACAAAGGGTGTGAATCGGTTGAAAACGATTCTTTTTGAATATTCTTGTTTTTTTCTCTTCTAACAATCTCATTGGATTTCATTTTATTATCAACTAATGCATGTCACAAGAGACAAATGATTTCTCATACACTGCTGATATAGAAAACCCCAACTAATGCATATTATTTTTATTAATGATATCTCTCATTACCATCTTTTCAAAAAAGTACGCTTTGCTGTTTCTACAATTCTAGCCACCCCCAAGAAAAAAAAGAAAGGTGAAACAGCTTGGACCATGCTTACTGTTATTATTATTATTATTATTATTATTAGTAGTAGTAGTAGTACTACTATTATTATTATTATTATTATTATTATAAAAGTTGAGCTTGTGATTCTGATCATAACCCTCCCAAACTTTAACTAATTCCAACTGTTGTGAAATCTTTATTAGATGAGTTATTTTGACTTTCTTTGTTCTTTTATCTCAGGATATGACATCCACAAGCTGTTTCAAGAAGCCCAAAATCGTTGGCTGAAGCCTGCAGAAGTGCTTTTCATTTTACAGAATCATGAAAATCAGAAGCTCACTGAAGAGCCCCCTCAAAGGCCATCAAGTAACCTTTCTAGTCTCCATGATTTAATGCAAAATGTTTTTGTTTGTTATTTCTTGTTCACTTTTTTCTATTACTTGTAAGAAGTCATACTATAACAACCCTTATGGTCACTTGTGCAAAAAAATGCCAATGGTTGGGTATGTATCTAGTCCACCCCTCCCAAGACCCCAAATAGTTTGAAGCAATATTACGTTTTCAGAGATCTACTCAATCTCAGACCCCATAGGATGGCAGGTAGCTCAGCTTTGTTTTGAGTCCCCAATATCCATTGGTCAAGAGAAGATGGGTACAATAGTCTATAGCTATTTTTGAACATTCCTCCCATTCTAAGTTGCCAGGGTTACCCATGTTACACCCATTAAAGTTTAACTTGGTGTGATTGTGACTTGTTAGGCACCACTCCAATGAGGTTGTGAAGTGGTACATCCTCCTATTCTAAATATGAATTTGCTACACATTGCCACAAGTAAGGTTCTTTTGTTGGCAAGCCTCACCATGATCCCTTGATTTATGGAAGAAAGGAAGTAGCTTGAGTGGCGGCAAATGTAGTTGAACATTTGATTGGAAGATTGAAGGTATTGGGAGTGTGTCTAGTTGGAAAGTTAGTAGGGGCTGATCCAGAAGTTGGTATGGTGGAGGAGTGAGCAGAAGAACAATGGGGGGGGGGGAGAAAAAGTTTTAGGGGTTCAAAAGTTTAATGGTGGTCTGTTTTTGTTCATTTTTTACAGTAGAGATGCAGCTGACTGTGTTACAGTTCAAAAGTGAACAGGACCAAAATCCAGAAATGCAACTAAGTAGATGGATTTCCAGCAGAAGGGGCTGTTAACGGGTTGCATGGAAGGAGTTTGTCTGGACCGGAGTTTCAGGGATCCCCTTACATGCTTGGTGCTTGCATATTTTCAAGGCAGTGGGAACTGGGAAGTTGAAGTGGGAAGTTTTTGATGTATGATGACAGGAACAGAATATGGGATAGGATAGATTTGGCAAAAATTTTGGTCAAGGTGAATGATTTGAACAGAATAACCATGATGCTAAAATCTTTTTTTTTTTTGGTGGTGAGATATGTGATCTGGGAGTTGTGGTTGAGGGGGAGGACCAGATGTTCATTGAAGATGAAGCTGGGAAGAAAAGTTGAACTGGTCGATGTGAATGATTTGAACAAAAGAACCATGATGATCAAATGTTTTTTATTTTTTTATTTTTTTTTCTTTTTTGTTGTGGTGAGATATATGATCTGGGAGTTGTGGTTGAGGGGGAGGACCAGATGTTCCTTAGAGTGTTGTATACATTGAAGATGGGGCTGGGAAGAAAAGTTGAACTGAAAGTGAAAGGGGTGGAAGATGAAGAAAGGGGAGTGATGGAGGGTGATTTGGCCCGACCTCGTAGCACAGGGACAAGTGTGCGTGACCTGGCTCGACGAACAACTCAACCGTAACTCGGC